TGATCAATCTGTGCTCTGTGAGAGGAAAAAATTCCAGTGCAGGGGTTTACAAGATAAGCAGTATCACTCTCTTCTTGACCTACATATAGCCACCTCAGCCAAGCTACTGATTCCCATCTAATCAGGATGAGCTTATGGGACATCTGACTCAGCATCAGAGCCAGGAAGAGCTTCACTTTGCTATTGACGGGTATGTGCGGGAATTACAATCATCTTGAGTTTATATCCACCCTGTTACATTCAAAATAGCGGAAGGCCAGGGTTTCAGATTCATGCAAAATCTCTAAAGCTATCAGATATCATTGCCCACCCCCACACAATGTTGTGCAGAGGACAATATTACAATTATTACAATGATTTTTTTCTCATGACAGAGAGGAACTATTGAGCTTGTTGAGGCCAATGTCACTTCTTAACTGGTCAGAAAAAAAGTTTAATAGTAATAAAAGGATATTTGAGTCCCCAACTTCATGTTAAAAAAGGACAAATAAAAGTCTAAATACTTTGTTTATTAAACTATTATTTTAAAGGAGTAAATGCCACAACACATGGTCCACTTTAGACATGTTACTAACTATAAGTAACATAGCAACTACATGATAACTACCAGTCAGTAGAGTATAAGTAGACTGTCTGCTCAATATCTGCTACCACTTTATTTTCATGCTCCTACAAAAGACATTCTACTGACTATATAAATCATTTTGCAACTATGTCAACTTATCCCACGAACCTGAACCCAAACACCTTAGTTAGTTGACATGTAGTTACTTACAGTATGTTAGTAGAATGTCTAAACTGGACCGTCGAAGTAAAGAGTAACCATAATAATTTAAGCAGAATTCCATGTTTTGAATCAATCTGACCCATTCAAGTAATGGTCTTATGAATGGTGAATGGAAAATTGCTGAAATTCAATAAATAGCACCTAAAAATAACAACATAAAATTCATAAAAATTAATTCAACATAAAAGCAAATGCCAGATATTAATTTTAAAATGTACAAATGAACAAACATAACTCACTACATTGTTGTACTGTGAAGTTTGTCTTACGAATTTGTATGGGCAAGACAGCAGTGGTCACAAAGTACACCATGACACAAAAGTGTGTGTGTGGAGAATGAAACGGAATGTATTATTGCTGTTCATCACAACTTAAAAGAAAAAAAACCCATATGACATTCAGAGCCACAGCTTTTTCCGTTTTCTTTTTCCTTCTCTGCCTCCTGCACTGATTCACACTATGCATGTTAATGCCAGTGTCATCCCACTGCGACAGGAAATCGGACTCTTTTTGAATGATGCAACTGTTTGGTCACATCCTGTATCTCTCTATCTCTCTCCGCACTCACATTCAAATGTAAACTTGATTATTTTCAAAAAAGGAAAATCTTGGCGGACAGGAAAATGACCCTGAAGAATATCACAGATGTTCTTCTCAAGTAAACCCGACTCCAAACATACATGCAAAAAAAACAATCTCTCATCTCGAGTTTGACTTCCATGGTCCCGTTGTCAGTTGGTGTGAGTGTGTGTGTGGGAAGAAGGAATCCAGCTGGACTGAGACTCAAAGCCCGCAGCTGGACATGAATATAACATAGACTAGAGCTTCATTTAACACACCACTCGGTCACTCTCTTTCTGCTCCAAAGGGGAGAGACAACAGTAATTTCCTCCACCAATGATGCATCACTTTAGACTAGGGCTGTCAAACGATTAATCGCGATCAATCGCATCCAAAATAAAAGTTTGTGTGTTCATAATATATGTGGGTGCACTGTGTATAATTATTTTGTATATATAAATACACACACTTATATATATTTAAGAAATGTTTTCATTTGTATACTGTATATAGATTTATATATAATTTATATTATATAAATATTAATATTTTATATATAAATAATATTTTTTTCTTAAATATACATGTGTATTTATATATATACAAAATAATTATACACAGTGCACCCACATATATTATGTAAACACAAACTTTTATTTTGGATGTGATTAATTGTGATTAATCGTTTGACAGCCCTACTTTAAACACATGTATGCATGTCAAAAGAATGTGCTGAGGTTAAAGAGTCGAAAACGAAATAGCCTGATGAGTGCAGGTTGAATATGTAAAAAGATGAATCACAAAAAAATACTCTTAAAGTAGACAATTTATATTTCATTTACATGACATCTGGTGCATTTAATCTGTTGTAGAAAACAATCTTTCTTCGTATAATTTCACATTTTAAAATAACATATAAAGTTATAGTTTTCTCATTATTTATAAGCTAATGTTAACTTAACAAGTATAAAATACTATTTGTGGCAGATGTAAAAAAGGACAAAAGAAAGTCTAACAAGAAATTTTCAGCACTTTTATTTTCAAAATGTTTCTATTTACACAAAATGTTCTCATGTTTTTAATTCAGTTGAGGAAAGGTACAGAATTCAAGCTCAAAGTTGGCAGAGACATTCAAAACATTTCCTACACAAGGATAGAAAGAGTACAAATTGCGTATTTATTTACAGTATATTCGATTTCAAGTTAAAACGTTTAGAAATGTTCCTCGTTGTCCATCCGACATCATCTTTTTCATTCAAGAGATTTCAAATGGAAACAAAAACAAAAAAATATACACACATTCTCTTCATAATAATTTAGCAATTGATATTGACAACGATAAGCGACGAGGTGTTTTATATATTGCTAGGCATTAAAACAGTGTGAATGGAAAGGCCAATTAGAGAGCTGCTCCCATGCAACTCCTTTAAATCTAAAACCACTAACCACATGACCTTTTAAACTTCTGTCAATGGTTTAAGAACAGCTATAAAAGTGTCTAATTGGCTTCATTTACATTCTTCTGCTAAATTTGGGGAAACCATCAGTGGGGTTTTGATGTAAGACTTAAACGAGAGCACTCAAACGAAAAACTCCTAAACTAAGGTCATTCCCCCTGTTTTTTCAGAGATCATGTGACCAATCTCAGACAGACTAGACAGTTAAGGGACACTTGAAGGGACAGTACACCATTTGTCTGACATGTATAAGTGAGCAAAGCCACAACATCAGACTCAATACAGGAAACATTCAAATAGTGTTTTATAATGGCTTATAAAGAAAGGACGGACGGACTGATTACGTTTGCAGATTTCACTCGTAAATATCCTCAAACTGCATTTTGGCTTCTGTAATCAATATAAACAATAGATTGAATTTGCACTTCATTTAACTTTATGAATACAGACATAGTCATGTCTTTCCTTTTTAAGAAACAGGGGTTCTGTAGCTAACTGCAGTCCTCTGAAAATTTCACGCCATCAGTAGATGGTTCCTCAAAAACATACTTCTAACAGATATCTTGTTGCTTTACTTTTAAAAAGGCACTCTAGTGACCTTCAAAATAAAACATGAATGGGTTAAATGTAATATAAGATACAGTTTCGATTTAAGAGGTAGCTGTGGGACATATGACAAGGCTGTGACAGACGAAGAGGTGACACTTTCTGGGATATAATAGGCTGGGTTTTTGTTTTGGTTTGTTTGTTTTTCCAGACACTGAACAATTGAGAAATGTCCGATTTATAAAGAGAGCAGAATCGACAATTCTTATGGCTCGAGAAATGCATTCAAAAAATGTTTCCTCTAATGTTCTGTCATCATAGCTAAGAAAAGCACCAGCAAAAATTACTAAACTTCAGTTTCTGCAGCACCACTCCAGCTGGAGATTTGAAAAAACGAAAAGAAAAAACCTTGACTTGGATGCAGGAGCTGCTACAGGGAGGCACACACTCGTATTTCAGTAACTGCATAGCTTCATGGACAAATGATCAGATTATGGATTATATTTTGGGATTATCTGATAAAATCTCAAAATCTCTCTAAGGCCAATTAATTAGCATTCAATGTTTCAGTCTTAAACATGTCTGTTTATAAATGTGAAATCTGCATAATTAGTATTTTGTGAGGCTTTCAAATGTGTTCTGTTAAATAGGATTATGGGTTTTGGTCAGGGTAGACGACATTCGATTTGGCATGATTGAGGCTGTAGGGATTGATGTACACTCTGGCTCTATCCCAAGTGAAACAATGGGCAATTTGGGCAAAAGTGCTGCTGTCCTGTAGCTCTAACCCTAATCAAACACACCTGAACAAGCCAATTAATCTTCAGGATTACTTGGGCTAAAGGCAGGTGAGTTTTTTGGAGGAGCAGGTGAGGGCTGGAGCTAAACTCTGCATGACAGGAGTACTCCAGGACCGGCGTTGCCCATCCCTGGTGTATAGAATATCCCATTTGTCATTTTAGGTTTCGGCAGGGTGCTCACAAGCTCCCCCTTTAAGCCATTATGCACCTTTTTGCTGAGCCAGCATTGATGCAGACTACTACCCAGCAGTCTAGTCAGCATTAGTTCAAAAACCATTTGAATCAGAAGACCGCAAGGACTTAGAATGATTCTTAAAACCAAGTACTTAAGATTAACATCTCAATAGTAAAATCTATTTAACTGACTATACTTATATCCCTCATAGTCTTGTTTTCATTCACATCAAATTAAAACTGACGTCTACCCTAACTAAGGTCCATTAGGTTTATTTCAGCATGATGATGGAGGATGGCGAGGTAGACAGTGAAAATAAAGAAGAGGATAGCAGAAGATACACCCAGCAACAGTCTTCCGTTGTAGCAGGGGGCGATAATAAAAATGACCATTACACTTTAAAATTCATGAGGACATCCTAGCCAAGGAATGGAGATTTACATGTTAGTACTCTAATGCTCAAACACTTATACAGTACAAAGTACCAAAGAAAACAAAACAACTGTTATCCTCCTACTCTACCTCTACCAACGTGCTCTTTGTAGACATTTTCAGACAGCACAATAAGAATATCAAGTTTTAAATGGAACAGATTTATAATGCAATTTGATGAATCATATCATCCAGTCCTTTTTTAGATAAATCCAGGGGTATATTCGTATAGTTTCATATTTTGGCTGGTTTGAAAATGGAACATGGTCCCAAGTAGTTGGAGAGTTTATAAAGTGGTTGAAACAAGCTTTGCTGTTTGATGATTGTCTGTGGAGAACATGAACATAAAACCAAATTGAGTCCATGTTGGTTTAAGGTGGCAACACTTTCTTCTTAACCATCAAAGACAAAAGTGGTCCATTGTAGACTTTTTTTAAAAAAAGGTAAGTTGTACATGAACTCGTAGAATCCATGAATTGCTGGTTATGGGACAAATTTACAGCTACTCCAAGCAATACTATTTGTGGGCAAGCGTAAGGGCCACTGGGCAGTTGTGATGATAAGTTTTACTCTTACTGAAGGCCATGTTGAGGTTCTTAGTTTGTGTAGTTCAGCTGCATGCTTTATGTTTCCTTGATATCTACATGAAATTCATTAAAACCTGGTGTCAACTTGGGTTCGGATTACTCAAGTTCTCCCATGGGTATCGAAATGGCTGGCTAAGTTGTCCTTTTGGCTGGATAAGGAAACAGAGGAATGGCTGAGTTTAAGGAGAGGTCTGACTAAATGATTGTGGAATTCAAAGTCAGGACTGGCTGGTTTACACTGGAATGACGGACTAACAATGTGAAATCTTGACAGTGGAATGGTGGACCTAAAAGGGAGGTCAACTTTCTCCCCATCCTTGGCATTAAAGTGTGCTGGTTACACTGAGGTCTGGTTTGGAAACTCTCCAGATGCAGGAATTTTCCAAGGTCCCTTTGTTGTAACCCTGAAGTTTTTTTTTGTTTGTTTAAGATATGAAGTATGTGTGTTTGTTTTCTAGGTGTGTCTGTGTATTGGCGTATGTGGCAGTGGGTTTTTGTGGCAGTTTGTGTGGTGTGAGTGTTGATGGTTGTTTATTTTGTATAGTTTTTGGGAAGCGTCAGAAGAGGCCACCCTCATCCTCACTCATTACTGGTATCGAATCGTTCTTCAGTTCCCATGGATGACTCTTGCACTCGGTGCTTGCACTGACCATGGGTATGTCGTGCCGTGGAGCGGGAGTTGCGGGCAAAACAGGAAGTGACGGTTTGTGAGTTGCAGTCACAAACTGAATCCTGCAATAACAAAAGGACTCAAAAGTTAAGATATTTACTTGATTCAGGGTTTATGCTTTGAAGGAAGAGGGAGTTTGTCTAACACAATTAGTTGTTCGTGATTAAACTCACCTCCAAGGTACTAGAGCTTGTGCTCATTGCATCCTTTCCGGTGGCTACCAAATCGTCTTTTTGTGTTTTCATAAACCTCTTGTTGACGATCTTTGTGATATTGTCTGTGCCAGTCAAGGCTCCAGGTAGGTATTCAGGCTTCGGTTCGTCCACTGTGCCCGCTGGCGCAGTCCTGCCGCAAACGTTGGAAAGAAACTCCTGGACCATACCATACTTCTGAGATCCCGCTTCTCCCAGACCGATACCTATGCTAGGACAGGAGGGTTTCCCAGCGGCTTGTCTCCCTGGGCACTGATCTACTTTCCACAATGATTCAACACTTCCGGAGTGTTCCACCACGCTGAACAGACTGGTCAAGCCATCATTTAGGCCGCTAAGCACTGGGCTGTCACGTGTGGTGGTGGAACGTGCCCAGGCAGAACCGATCTGAGATCCACTACGGTTATGCAGATTCCAGACACTGCGATCCCTTGAGGATGTTGAGGAGGTCTCGAGTTTGGAGGAGGAGGTGGAAACTCTTCGGGTGAGCTTAGGCGAGCCATATTTTGGTGAGCAACAGGGTCTATCTATGCGACTGTGCACTTTATCCAGAGATGAAGAGATCTGTCGGGAGCGTGCAGACGCAAGTGAGGTGGATGGACGAGGAGACCATGTTTTCCCTTGAAGGCCTCTAGTAGTTGAAATGGCATCAGTTTGTAGGCCAATGCTGACAAACTGTGCTGTCTGCGTTCCTGTACTAGAAACGCCAACTGTCTGGCTCCCAGAATCTTTGCTGCACTTCCTCTCCAGGGAACTGGAACGAATGGCCTGTCGTACACAGTTGGTCATCTCCTTCATGTCATCGCTGAGGTTGCCTGAAATCTCCAGTCCATGGAAAGGTGCAGTACCTCCTGTCCGTCCTTCAAGCAAGTCTCTATGCTGCTGTGAAAGTGAGCTCAACCACTGCTCATAAGCGGATGAGGAAGTGGTGGATAAGGGTACGGACACAGCAGTCTGACCTGATTGATCTATCATGGCTGCATCTCTTGATGATAATCCTTGCTGGGGATCCTGGTGGGCCTTTTCTTTGACTGGTCTTCTCTCCATTCTCCGCACTGTTGGAGGGCTGTAATAGATGCGAATGCCCGTCTTATCCGGAGCAGTGTAGCTTCTCTGGATGTACTCTTTGCTCAGCTCCAGTCCTGGGAAGCTGCTGTTCGAATTGGTGCTTGGGCAGTCCCATGTCTTAAACTGGTCATGCTTTTCCAATATTGCTGAATCGCTGGTCAGGTACTTCCAATTCTTTTTGTTGAGATCACTTAAGTCAGTGCAAGCCAGAATGGAGGTCGGAGCGGTAGATTGGTGCTGTGCAACTTTGCACACTTTTACTCCACTGACCATGTGACCATGTGTGTCCAGCAGACTCTTAAATTCAGAGAGGGCAGACACCGATGTGGTCCTGTGACGAGAGAATGGAGATTATCATAAAACAATCACGTCTGATTAAAACGGGGATGCAATTTAGACCTTATGGAAGTCATTTTACCTTTGCAGTGCTGAACTGCTCGTGGCTACATCTGTTAAGGTTTCCTTCTCAGACATTTTATCATGAAGAGACTGAAAAAGAAATTATCTTTTTTAGTTAAGCTTTACAGCATGCCATGGTCATCCCCCCGCCACAGTACTCCCATTCATTCATGTGGTATTACTGAGTCAGACGATATTCTCTTTAGGAAATGAGGTCATTCAAAACAGCTTGTTTCCTCTGTGGGGGTAATGATAGTGGTGTGTTCATCAAGTCTATTTAAATGACCCAATTTTTCCCAATGAGGCATGTTATTAGACTTTTCTTAGATCTCAAGATCTCATATGAAACAAAGAAATTAGACCACAAAGAGGCAGAGAGTGAAAGAGTCTCATCTCTTTTTCCAGTCTTACTTACAGTCTGGTTAGTACAGACACACTGACCACACTGTTTCAGGCTTATTTCCAATTGGACAGCACAAGCTGTGCACAGCCATTCTCACTGTACTCTTGTTTGCTCTATGTAATGGAAACTGCTTCTGTCACCAAATCAAATTGCTTGTGTGTGCAAGTACATATATGACAATATGCTCTTTCTTGCTCCGATTCTGATATGCAAAACCAGCAATTCCAGCTGCAAGTGATGCAACACACTGGGAGTGTGCATGCCGGCGCTCTGTGGAAATGTTTAGAGATATTGTCATATCCTCCCATTATGTGAGGGGAGCCCTGAGTCAGTGAAGGAAGTGTGGGGATGAACAATGTGCAAAATATGTCATAATGACATTCTCACAGACCTATATAAAACAGATTAAAAGGACTCAAATATATGAAAGAAAAACATGAAAGCAGGGGAACAAGCTTTGGTAATACAAAACAAAGCTTCCCAGGCCTGTAATTCACTTGAAGCTTGACCATAAAAGTTATTGTTCACCCAAAAATAAAAATGCTGTCATCGTTTCCTCACCCAAGTTTCTTCTTTTGTGTTTAATTTTCAAAAATGTACAGAAGACTCTTAGGCCCTGTCCGGAGAATGGAGACCTTTTGCTACGTTTGCACCTCCCGTCCAGACTAAAACAGAAAAAACGAAGACCTAAAACGGAGATGTTTAGAAACGTTACAGCTCCGTTTTGCATTTTGAATCTCCGGAGGGCGTTTTAGTGTAGAAGAGACAAAACGGAGGACTTCAGAAACGCTGACCCAGAGTCTGACGCCTGGCTCTATGATTGGGTGTTATCAGTCATGACGTATCCTTCCCTGATTCGTCAACCACTGTTTACACCGGCACGCGCATGCCCAGTGTTGGTGAATGGTCACTTGATCTGCGTTTTCAGTCGTTTTAATCTGGACGGAGATCATTTCTAATACGCAGATAAAACGCTGGTGTGGACGGAGATCGTATTCGTTTTAATTCTCCGTTTTTAAACGAAAATGCAGTAGTGTGGATGGGGCCTTAGTCAACTCTTGTTGGTGTTTTCGTGTCTCCTAAAACTTGAAAGTGACCAGCACAATCATAAATTCTTTTCCTTTTGCATTCCACGGAAAAAGTAAGTCATAATAGAATTGTAATTTTTCATTTAACAAATCCTTTCAAATGACAACTGACCTGTGCGCCTTTGCTCTGGGAATCTCGTATATGTTGTTCCCATTGGCTTCTTTCCTGGTTGAAGTGCTCCAAAAGCTCTAGCCTCTCTCGGCTCCAGTTCTTCTCACTAATCTGCAGTTGTTTGGTGAGGTCCATCACGGCAGCGTAAGAGTCCGCCAATAAGTGTTGATGCTCCTCTCGCTCCTTCTTTAGTGCCCCCTTGAGGTCTGGAGAATCCTTTTCACTGCCAGCCACAGATGCCTTCCCCATCTTACACTCCAGCTAATGACAAAGATAAAGTACAAAATGAGAGATTGAGATGAAAAAAGAATACTTGATGTTTCAGAACCAGAAGAGTAACCATAGAAACTGCCCAATAATACATACCCAAGCATTTGCTGATGTTAACAGCAGAACCATTTGCCCAATACCATTAAATATTCCGATCAAAGTGCAATTATATATGCTTAATTGTAAATAGCAATAATTAGATTTACTATTAAGAATAATTAAAATAGACAATTATTTTTACAGGTAATATATTTTATTAACTGCGGTTTACAGTTAACAACATGAGTTGTATCAACCCTATCTATTGCATTGGCAGTTTAACAACAGCTTCAAATGTGACTCGTCCCATTAGATTGTTATGATATTTGGTTATATTCTGCATTACGTTTCCAACAACAGCAATTATGAAGCCGGCACCCATTTATCGTATTTTGAATTCCTTCTGCTCTCTCAGTTGGAGTCGCAAATCTTTATAAGTCATAAACTGCATGAGCGTTTGCCAGTCAGATTATTAAAACACAGCCTGCTGGGAACTCATCAGACAATCAGTGACTAGCTCCTCATGGTAATAATGCCTAATGAGTTTTGATTTTGATGGCAATAAGAGGTTAATGGGTTGATGTGGTTTATTAAAGAGGACGAAAGATAGTTGTTCCAGATACTTTCTCATAAACCCAAATGATTATGAAAATTCTATTGTTTCCATCAGACTATTAATGTGGCTTTGCTGATCATTTGTTTAATTCACCTTTGAATCGCATGATAAATGAGCAATTGTGCCGCATCTTAACAATAGACGATGTATAAATGAATAAGTGATGATGTGCAGCCTCAACAGAAGACTTCATAGCATTATACTTACAGTATTAATGGTATCAATAACCTTTCTTGTTAATACAATGATAAATCATTTTCTGTGACAGGTTGTTATTAGTGCCACAGAGGTCACAGCTAATACTAGAGTGTCAAGTCCCACCTCTTCCCTTCCTCCCTTTATTGCTTGGCTTATTCTCTAAACCCACAGTCTTAGAAAAACCAAGGAAGTGCAGTCAGATAAAAAGGAAGCTCTGTAATCTCGGCCTATCAGAGCAGTAATGGTGAAAGGGGCGGTCTAGTATCATTAGGTTCTTTGGAGAGCATAGGGCTATTGCTTTAGGTGCAATGTAATGGTGTGTGTGTGTGTGTATACTTTTTTTTCTGCTATAACCTTTACAACAATGAAGGGAGGAGTGCGTATTTTAGCTAATCTTAATACAACTGATTGCATGCCCCGGATCTCGACAGAGTACACACACTTGACTTAAAGCTGCAATACCGTTTCTGCTGCATTAGCAGCACCAAACATAATGATTATCCAAACACTCCACATGTCTTCCATTGCATTTGCTAATGTCTATTTTTTTTTAGTATAGCCTAGTCTAAAATGCACATGCCACTGCGTTCTTTAAATATTTGCATTGTTATCGGTATTTTGGGCCCTCCAAAACAGTTACCGAAAATTTATTTTTGGTGCATCACTACTTTATTTCTTATTTGTTTCTCATCTTTAGCCTCTGTGTTTATCAGACTGATCCACTAACTGTGTCTTAAAACCTGTTCCTCCCTGAGCCCATTAATTAAGCCATTAAGAAGACTGCAGTCATGAATGTGTCTCAGTGCAGAGATATTAAACTCGTCTTTCACCATCACGCCCTGCAACAAGCCTGTAAGCACACACTCCCTCTCCCCACACACTGACATACTGCAAACAGCTCTCTTCCCAGACTACTGGTGCATGTCTTAAACCAACAGAGCAAATAAAAAAAAAATACAGGTCACATCCAGCATCCTTCAGCCTGTTTGACAGCAAACTGATCGCGAGAAATTTATCTGGCTTTAGTGTTCAGAATGAATCTCCCAAGAGGAATTACTGTTATCTGTGTATGTTAAATCAATGACTATGGAGTGCAGGAGTAAAATGACCCACTGAGATCAATGCTAACGTAATTACTTTACACATGCAGTGCAAACTACCTATAAAATGATTCACCTCTATGGACTCTTTTAGATTTTATTGTGACAATGTATTTAACAGCATTTCCCACTCAAGTTTTAAATCTCCAGCTCCAACTGTCCGCTATCCTGAAGACACAGATTGATCTACACATGTCATTTACTTTTGGCTACAGGAATATATTGAATTAAAAGTCACTATAAGCTTTTATTACAAATAGATCTTTAAATTCCAAGCGAACAAACTGTATGTTCAGGCATTTCCAATGTTAAATGAGGACTGTGTAAAATCTTGGCCATTTAATTATGGAAAATATGTATATAAATTCAGTCGAGTGAGGCCGAGGTCCAACATTTTGCCTTGTTTTTGTTTCTGTTGTCTGACTGACGGATCTGCCAGGACCGTCTTGAGCGGACACAGCTGCTCACCTGAGTGATAATGCTCTTGAGTTCCATTCGTTCCACTTCCCATGATGCTTTGGCACGGGCAAACTGCTGTGTTAACTCCTGTGAACCCTGACGCTCCTCGCGCAGCTCAGCGCTCAGATCCTGTAGCGCCACCTTCAGGTCCGACAGAGTACTGCCGAATCCGCTAGGCTGCTGTGGGCAACAGGAGATGGAAATGAATTACATTTACATAGCCGTGAAGACTGGATTATAAGGACATCAAATCTAAAGTTGCAGAAGTAAGGTGTTCAGCCGATCTCTGTTTTCACCCACCTGTGGGCAGCTTTTCTCTGCCAGGCTGTGCTCTTTGGGTGTAGGGTTGAGGGGTTGCTCCTCAGCGGCAGACATCTTGTTGTCTCCATAGTGGGAGGACAGCCCATCTTCCTCAAGCAGGATACGGAGATCTTTGACACTGTTAACCTGGGAAAACATATCAGCGTTTACTTCAAGAATAGGTTGAAAACAGTTGTGCTGCGAAATATTGTTATAGATAACTTTTTTTTATGGATTAATAGAAAGCATCTATTTCTTTACTAGTTCAATTAAACGTACAGTATGCGATTTTTGGCCACCAGGGGTCACTCGTTTAAAATAATAACAAAAGACGTACTTTGATGACGTCGGGAAAGAGCGTGGGCTCACGGGAGTTGTTGTCGCTGTCAATGACAACCAGCTCAGCTCATGACATGACATCATCGTTTCACAAAATATACGGATATACGGCATCTCTCTGTAGATTTAGCTTGTCAAGAAGCTTTAAATGCAACCCCAATGTTTACCTGTGTCATGCTTCTCCTTCTCGGGTCATATTTTTCAGGTACGTTTGAGCTTTAGCTAATGAGCTGGCTGTAGCAGCAGAACGTGCAGGCAAAGCGTAATCCTGGTCCATAACTATTATACAGACCAATATAAATATTAATATTACGCTACTTCAATGAATGACCTATTTTAGAACATTTTTCATATATAGAGCGCACCGGATTATAAAGCACATAAGATACTGCAGTCAAACGTTTGACTGGGTTTGCGTTATGCATCCACTATGTGCTAAAGGCTAAAGGGAATGTAGTGAGTGCGCGGCGCCGGAGGTGAGGCGTTTATTTAGTAAGCATGAGAGAGCTGAAGCGGGCACGTACATTCGCAGCCTGACTCATATGAGTATTCAATGTGCGCGGCTCGCTAACAGCAACAGTTGGCTGATTTGAATGAGACGACCCGGTTACTGTGAACGGGGAGCGCTTTATGCGCGAGCAGCACCGGGGACAGTGTGTCTGTTAAGAGTGAGCGCTCGTGAGCGGGCACGTGATTTACACACATAAAAACTTTTTTTTCTTCGTCATTTTCTTTGCTTTATTGACGGTAGTCCAGTGTTCCCCTTTGTGTTTGGCGGTTTCGCCGGGTTCCGCAAGGAAGTTAGAGAAAATAGAGGAGTCAAAGGTTATATGACGCCATAGACGGGCGACGAAACGGAATTTTTTTTTTTTTTTTTTTTGCGACGAAACGGAAATAAAGAAACGTCCCGTGTCTTCGAATTAAACTATAAATTTCTCCGTATTTGAAATTTGGTGGAAACTGTCGGGATAATGTAAGTACACATCTAACAGAAATATATAACATAGATACAGTTATTTTTGCTATTTTTAATGCAGAAAAAATACATATTGTGGCTTTAAACGCATCCTTGCCGAATACAAGTACTTATTTATTTCCACAAAAAAAACAGTTGTGTACCATCAATTCACTTTGGTTATAAACTAACCAACCACAATCCAGTTTAACCCTGTTCCAAATTTGTATGAATTGTGTCGTGTGGCCTTGAGACTTAGTAAGCATGTTCACATCGTTTCCTGATTTTCCTGAAATTCCTTCAGTGAATCGACTGCTAAAACTATGCAAACACAATTCATTATTGGTGACTTCTCACCTCGAGGATATCCTTGCTCTCAGTGTCTAGTTTCTTGCCGAGTCTCCACTGTTTGAGGAGCCAGCGCAGCTTGAGGCTGATGAGGAGCAGGCTCTCTTTGAGCTGCTGTGACTCCTGCACCAGCAGGTTTCTCTCCTGACTCCACAGCTTCTGCTGCAGACGCGTCTGGAGGCTCAGGCTCTGTAGCTGGAAGTCTCTGAGGAGGAGGGCCTTCTGATGCTCTTCCTGAAGCTAGAGAGAGACATTAAAATGAGTCTACAACCAATCGGATTTTAGGGATCTTTACTTGGATGTTCAGTGTTTGAGAAAGAATTGCACCTGAGAGAGTTTATGCGTGTCGTTGTGGCGCGCATGTCTCTCCTGTGACAACGCTTCCTGCGCTCCCTGAGCCTTCTCTCTCGCCTCAGACAACAGAGTGTGCAACTCACCAACCTGGAGAACAACATGAAAACAGAGAAAAGGAGAGAGGGATTGAAATTAATTGGTAAATTCTGTAGCTGGATGGTATTTGTGATACAAATAGACTGGAATCGGCAAAACGTACTGCCTTTTAAATGTCAACATTTTTCAGTGGTATAATGCCAATGTAATAACAGACTTTAGAATCTGTCTGACTTCAAGAGTGCAGAGAACACGGTCTGTATTATTTGTCTTTTTCCAAGAAAATGGATTAGAAGTTCCTAGACTAGTCACCTAGAATTTTTTTTCCCCTTTCTAATTGTTTTGATATTTCGCATCCCATTTGGGAACAGACATGCATGCAGATCGGTGTCTTTGGTTGTTTTTTGTTGTTTTTCAGTTGTGTTCAAAATTTTATTAAAAATAGTTAAAAATAGACCAACTTTTAAAAACAGGACTCAAGGACAAGTGTTGGGTTCGATTCCACCTTAGTCGAGTCAGAGTCATACTAAACAATACTGTATTTCATTAAGTCAATATCTTTTTTTTTTTTTTTTCAAAACTTAACTTATAATTTTAAATCCATCACGCCATCTCATAATTGGTAACCTGCTCAGCAAACTTAAAGGAATACTCCACTTTTTTTGGAAATAGGCTCATTTTACAAGTTAAACAGTTGAGTTTTACCATTTTCGAATCCATTCAGACGATTTCTTTTTATATTTAGAAGAATATCAGTAACCAGACAGTTTCTGGTCTCATTGACTTCCATAGTAGGAAAAAATATATACTATGGAAGTCAATGGGACCAGAAACTGTCTGATTATTACTGATATTCTTCTAAATATCAGAAAATCGGCTGAATGCATTGGAAAACAGTAAAACTCAACTTTTTAACTCTGGGGGAGTTAAACAAAAAAAAAAAAGTGGAGTATCCCTTTAAACTCATGTAATGGAAGTTATGGCCGACTTGATTGAGACATTTCTGATTGAAACAGCTTTTGAATGAAAAAAGCGATAGGGAGGGCTTGACTTATCCAACGATATTAATGTATGAATTCAAGGCAGAGGTGGTAATTGGGGTCACTTGGTGAATGGGAACAGCCTATTGGGACCTGAAGAGCCGAAAATGCAGTGGTGAGGTGATGGGGAGGGGTCAGACCTACAGTCTTTACAAGGACATCTCAAAATTTGGGTTTCATTTTTGAATGCATCTATGATTAACAAATTACATTAATGGTAAATATATATAAATATTAATAATTTCAATTACAACAGCAAAAACTAATAGTAGCCTACCGGTAACTCTATCAAGGACCTTGCATTCAACTCAAAAACATGTCTTGTGTAAAGCCCTCTAGGAAACACGTCCAATCTGGGTGAGGTAAGGAAACCAGTTTAAATATACAGGATTTTTTTACAGAATTAATAGTTTTTGCATCCCTAGACCATTTCTACGCTAGCAACATCAGTCCAACATTGACAAGCCCTCCCTAAAATTTGAAACATGAGACCAGAGCTTGATCCCAGTTGTTTCTTTTTCTTTGTGAAAACCACATTTGCCAGTTATGGAAATGCTGGGTGATGAATTGTTTGGGTGGAAACTGTTGATGGCTGCAAGGGCGTTTGGCACAGCGTGCAGGACACCAAATCACATAATGCATGCTTTCATGATTTAAAGCTTGGCATAATCGTGTCAATACTTAATACTGTCTTCAGTTTAAAGACTGCATATTTCTCCAGAGTTTGTACTGTATAAAGTCTTGTACAAATTAAACAAATCACAGGCCATTTAAACTGCACCAAATTGAAGAGAAAAAAACTGAAGTAGGCCGTTACTGGGGAAAATATAGTGTAATGTAAGAGCGTAGTGGGATTAAGGCAAAACTAAACCACGTTGGCAGCGAGAACTATATTTGCTCATATCTCTGCATGGGTGAACAAGTCTTGTTTTATTTATGGACACAAGGGTACTTTTATATTTTAACCACATAAACATTCTTTAGAGTCTATGAATATCCCATTTAATAGACTTTGCTGTCATCACTTAAACCCTAATTTCCTAATTCCCCATGAACCTCATATTTAATTTGAGTGACCAGTGTGTAGTAGCTGAGGGATGATAAAAACATTGACAGCCAATCAAATAACTCGAGCATTTAAAGCGACAGACAACACAACTGCAGCGCTTAGTTTAAACAAAACAATATCGTCCGCTGGTGTGGATGCTAATATAGTTATCGTTCTTGGTTTGAACGGGTCTTTATTCATGAGAGATGTACAACATGCTGCCTCTGTTTTTGTCCAAAAGTGTTAGCTTATGTTTTGAAACAGAGCTATTGTGTGTACAATTGTGAGATGGGAGCAGAATTTAAAAATGTGTGTATGTTTAAGTGGCTCACCAGGTCAGAGTTTGTTTCCTTTAAGTCAGATTCCTCATCTTTGTTGCTGTCTTTGTGGCTGTTGCTCTCCTCCTCTGCCTTGCATGTGTGAACTTTGACCTCACAGTCTGGCTGATCTCTAGAGTCAGGCTGTTGCATGCATGCATGGGCAAGTTAATGAAGGAAAACAAAAAAACAACAACAATAAAAGACGAGCATGATAGAAGACAGACAAGATCAAGAAGAATAATATGATGAAGGAATAAAAAAGTGATGTGTAGTGTGGGTATAAAGGACAGTGATGCAAGGACAGAACAGACATGTGAGAAATGAAGAGGGGGGGAAAAAGGGAAAATGGCACAATGATACCTATAAAACATCACCAGCAAATAAAAACTCACAAGACAATGAAAAGTATGTATAGGAAAAACAGTTTGGTCATTGTGGTATAAGACAAAATGGCAAAAAGAAACAAAACAACAATGAGCGAAAGCATCATCTTTGGTTTGAGGAGGAGGAGGAAACAGTAAAGGAGGTAGAGGGAAACAAAAGAATCATAACAAGAGGGAGAAGAAAAACAAAGAAAGAAATGTAGCAGCGACCACAGGTCATGGTGCCCATGCAGTGAGGAAAAAGAGAGAGAGAAGGAGGGAGGGAAGAGTCTGGATTGGATCTCAAGAGTTGGGCCTCTAATGGAGCCTAAATAAATGCCTGTTAGATTAAACCTCAAATGATTCAAAAAAAAAAAGGAAAAGAAAAGGAATCTCTCTCTTTTTTTGCCCAATACAACAGTGTTATATTGGACCCCTTTGACTTTCATTGTATGGACAAAAGCAGTCTTCAAAATATCTTCTTTTATGTTCCACAGAAGAAAGAAAGTCATACAGGTTTGGAACGACGTGAGTGAGTAAATAAAGAGGCTAAGCTATTATCTGTCATGGGAAACAGCGGTAACACTTTGTTTTGATGATACCTTTTGAACATTATGTTGACTATATGTAACTTTGCAACTACATGCCAACCTATTCTAACCCTACTAGTCTACTAATACTCTACTAACACTCTACTAAAAGTTAGTAGACATGTAAGTGCAAGTTACTTATAATCAACAGAATGGGTTTAAGGGACCATCAAAATATAGTGAAACCAAAAATCATTATTTTACACTTTTTGCAACGTTTAATGATTGCTTAAATCACATGTGTCAGACTCCACTCATGGAGGGCCACTGTCCCTCAGAATTTAGCACCAACCCGCTCCAAAACACCGGCCTGGAAGCTTCAAGTATTCCTGAAGACCTTGATTAACTGGTTAATGTGTGTTTAGTTAGGGTTAAACTCTTCAGGACAGTGGCCCTCCAGTTTGACATCCCTGGAAATAGTCTAGTCAAAGATGTATTGGGAACAGCCACATCCAAATTCTATAATACATTATTTTACTAGAAAACAAACAAACTTATACTATTGCGTCTAATTTTAATCTAGACATAAAATACTTTTTTTAATCAAACTTTCACAACAAAACAGTTCTTATGACAATAATAATGATCTAACTCCATTAGAGGCCTAAATGCTATCCACTATGAAGCCTTATAATGCACTACAAGCATGCATTGTTATAGTGGTCGGTAGAGCTGCACGATTCTGGATAAACTGAGAATCACGATTTGTTTTCAACAAATCAAACAGAGATCATGATTCTCCCACGATTCTGAACAGACAACTAAACAAAATATCATGTCATTTACTAGAAGTTCTGACAAAATGTTGATGTCAAAATGTCTACTTAAATGTTTAATTAATCTGAATGAATTATTTAAAAAAAACGGGTTGAATGAATGATTCAATGACTCGCTCATAAATACTTCACTTGTTCATTACTGGATGAATCAGTGTTTTTGAACAAATCTCTTGAATGAATGATTCAATGACACATGCATTTTTAACAGTCACTTGTCACCACAAGTTACTTTCAAAAAGTGATGCTCCTGCTCACTTCTATAGACATCAGTCTATAAACTTTTATCCCAGTACTTTTGATAACATGAATATATGTAACACAGAAATAACGATACTGTGTGGTAGAAAAGGCGCTGTTTCATACCTACACGTGACAACTGCTCTCTCTTCAGTCAGCGTTCGATTGTTCCGCTGTGTTTTTGTCAAAGGTTTAATAGGCGCATGCTAATGAATCATTGTCAATTAGGAATGACATTGTGTGAATGTTCGAATCGAGATCACAATCTTTTAACGATTAATCGTGCAGCTCTAGTGGTCGACAAACCTTTCTAAGGGAAAGGGCAATGTAAAAATACAACTCAATCAAGCAAAGCAAAAAAGAAAAAAAAAACTCCAAGCAAAAAGGAAAGAATAAAGATGCAAAGGAGATTGGGCGTGTACCTTCTGTTGGGCCATGTTCTGGTTGAACTGAGCATCTGCAGGGCATGAGAAATTTGCTGCAGGGTCTTCCGCCTCAGACAGCAGGGGCATCGGGGACATCCCTTCCACACACTCCCTCTCTGAGGGCTGCCCCAGGGCATCCACCCTCTCACTAAGGGCCTGTAGCTGAGCCTGAAGAGACTGCAGTCTGCCACGCAGGGCCTCCACCAGGGGCAGCGTGGAGCTCTGGGTCTGGCTCTTCTCCAGCAGATCCGCTTCCGCAGACTCATTTGTTGTAATCTTACGATAGACAGCATCTGGTGTGACACTGGAAAGGTCGGGTGATGTTAGAAGCTGAATGGCTGAGGTAATGATTTGCGCTTGGTCGCGGATAGCGAAAAGGTCTTTTAAGCTGAGGCCCTGAGCAGTAGAAGTGCGACTTGTTCCTGAAAATTTGGGATTATTTTCGTCCAGAATATCGTGCTGCTCGTCGCCCACCGGGCCTTCGCGGTGCACCTGGCTGGGGACGCACTCAGCTGAGTCCCCCGCTTCGGCATCGGTTTCCAGCGCCGGACGTGCGGAACCCTGGTTGGAGGCCAAGTCACATCGTTGAAGGTTGGAAAGGAGCACACGGTTCTCATACTGGAGCTTCTTTACTTTACCGTTCAGCTCTGTGATCTGCAGCCTGGCAGCAAGCAGTTCTTTATGGGTGGCTTCGTTTGGACCGGATCCCTCATCTTCGGAAGCACCAGGAATGATTTTGGGTGAATTGATGGTTGTGGACGGCGACAGCTCTATCTCATTGACAGCGGGAAGCTCGGATTTGTAGTGGTTGAGCTCGTTCATCAAGAGCTTGTTCTGCTCTTCCATTTCTATCAGAGACCGCCGCAGCAGATCCGCCTCTTCTTCCACGAACTGTAGATGGCGCTGTAGCTCCATCACATTCTCAGACGTGGAAAGCAGCAGTTGACCCCCGACTCCACCCATGACCCCGACTCCACCAGGGGAATCCTGGATCTTCATGTCGTCCATTTCAGCGCGAAGGCCACGGTTCTCCACCTCCAGCTCTACGATCCGTCGGCTTAGAAGGTTCGCCTCCTCTTCCACAAGTTTCAGGTGTACTTTGACCTCGGCCTCTCGGGTGTGAGGAGAGTCAGCGACCTCTTCAACAGTAAGCGAGGCATCAACCTCTCCGTACAAAGAGCGAAACTTTGACAATTCCTCCCTCATGGCCTCATTGTCTTTGACCATCTTGGTGAGTTTCTTGCACATGAGAGCTGACTCCTCTTTGGCGAAGTGAAGCTGGCACTTCAGGTCTGAGCTGTCCTCTGGAGGCTGGAAAGGAACATTTGCAGAGACCAAAAAAAAACTGTTAACGGCTACAATATTGAACAATACGGTGTCCATTTATGCCCTGTTTCCACCAAGTCATGGTTCAAGTGACCCAAAACCGATTTTTTTCCCGTGAACGTGTAAGCAGGAAAAAAAAACGCATGGATTCCTATTTTTTCAGATCGGATTCAGGCCTCATTCATATATGGTAATAATTTGGATATGAATCGGATATGTGCATTTGCGTGTGCCATGTAAGCAGACAAATCAGAGATTCCCCATTAAATGCGAGTCGTGCATTAAAATAGTGCACGATTATAGGCGCGGTGGAAGAAAGGAGTGGAGCAATGCAGAGTTTTCATGTCTTTTGAGTGTTTGGGGAGAAGACTGCAGCCAAAAATTCAGGGTTGTTAGAAACAAATCCGTATTTGAAGACATTTCACGGGATATGGGGAGGCACGGTTTTAAGCGCTCGTGGCTACAGTGCCTCTCCTCTTTTTTCTCCGCCAATGTTTTGATGACTTTTTTTTCAAAATATTGTGGAAAGAAAAACACTGAATAATTTTTATTCGTATTTGCATCCATTGCATTTCGTACTGTTTTATTTGATTTTCCAGGTCAGAGCGTCTACATTTGGTAGGTTCAGCAGTGTATAGTGTAAATGCAAAAATCGGGTATGGGTCACTTTTAAAAGATGATGTAGGAAGGTCGTCAAAAAAAATCGGATATAGTCAGAAAATCGGATTTGGGTATCAAGACCTGCAGTGTAAATGCAGCCTTAGACCAAGTCAATGGCTAAGGTGGGGTAATCGCCACACGTGTCATTTTGCACAGTTACTCCAGACACCTTATTTTATTTATCCACCTGGATTTAGATCAAAATAGTTGTCTACAAAGACTGTGGTGCCTCATGTTTTTAGGAGGCAGGTTATGTTACAGGTGGGAAAGATTATGAGAGAAGTTTGCAGAAAGCCCAGTATGATCCCTGCACCACTGCAGTGAAAAAAAGGTATAACAAGGGAATACAGTTCTACATTTATAGCAAGAACAGCTCCGGATCTTTGGTGTGATAAATGCATCATCACTATAGCACTGTAAAAAGACCACTTTGTGAGCTTGAACAAGAGCTTGAACAAGAATGTAGACTACGACCTTGACAGTCTTAAGAAATAATACAACAAAAAAAGCTTTAAATCGATAGCACCTGTTCAAAAAATATAGTTCGCTATCAATGCTGTATTTTACCAGTTCTCTTTCAGATCCTTATATTACAATAGAAGCAAAATAATTAAATATATTGTAGTATTAGTGTGTATTACCTGAGGCGATGCTTTTTTATCAGGTTTGTTGTTTGGTCTGGCACCTCTCTTCTTCTGAGAGTTCTAAAGGAGAAAAAAGGATAAATGAATGAATGTGTTACAACATAAATCACTCTTGTTATCCCCTTCCCTAGCCACTGTACATCCACTCTGATATCACACCATCACTTACATTGATATTTTCACTGATAAATCATCAGTTGGCAGGAAACCAGCGTGAAAGTAAACTGATACACATCAAAATGTGAGGTATTGCAATTGCATTGTTTCCATCAAATAGAAAACTACACTGCAGGAAATGGAGATAGGAGGAGGAGAGAGAACCATAGATACATTTTAAAATGAATACATTGTGGGTACTGATTGATTATTACAGGTTTTCAACAATGAAAAAATACACATTCACAATATAAAACAGCCCCTCATACATTATTGTGTAAAATGATTAAAACGAAAATAAAAGGATCACTTCTAGGGTCATTTTCTCTAAAACCATGTAACTGCGCCCAAAACAGGAATGGATGAATACAGACAACAATCCAGTTTTCACTTCCTGTCGTACAGTATGTGGGCTGACAGAATGGCACAGGTTAATGGAATCGCTTTTAATGATACTAAACCTCATTAAAATCAATAGATCTGTGCTGAAAGAAAATGAAAGCATTGACTTAGTGTATAGACCTTTTTTGTGCCACTGTTTTTTAATTGACTGCAGTTTGCTGAGTCTGTGGGAAAGAAGTCTGAGCATAATGAGATTATATAGTAACGTCATTTATCCCACCGCTAACTCACACTGGCGCCGTACACAAAAGCTTCGCACGTAAAGGCTGTTCAGTGTGTGTATATAGATGCTATGTGAAGGGTTTTTCCTCTGTCATTGACTCTTCCAGCACAAACACACTCACTCACAGTCTGCTCTGGTGCTCCAGTCACGATAAAATTCCATCTACTCTGTAATACTGATGCAATTTTGGGTAGATGTCGTCTATTTCGCTGTCAGTAATACTTGCACAATTTCATATGTGCAAAAGTGGACAAACTATGGAAGCTTGTTTCCGCCATAGAATGAAAAATATAAAAGGTATTTGCAACTTTTTATCTCACAATTCTGACTTTTTTTCTCACAATTGCAAGATGGAAAGTCAGAATTGCGTGATATAAAGTCAGAATTGCATGATATAAAGTCGCAATTGGGAGATATAAAGTTGCAATTGCGAGATATAAAGTCAGAATTGCGAGATATAAAGTCAGAATTGCGAGTTATAAAGTCAGAATTGCGAGATATAAAGTCAGAATTGCATGATATAAAGTCGGAATTGCGTGTTATAAAGTCAGAAATGTGAGATTTAAACTATTCTGAGGGGAAAAAAGTTTTTTTCCCTTAGTATTAGCCTGATAAGTCGCAATTGCGAGTTTATATCTCACAATTCTGAGAAAAGATGTCAGAATTTCGACATATAAACTTGCAATTTATGTGTTATGAAGTCAAAATTGCGAGATGTTGTGAGAAAAAAGTCAGAATTGTGAGATAAAAAGTCGCACTTCTGTCTTTTTTTCTCAGAATTGCGACTTTATATCACCCAATTCTGACTTTATATCTCGCAATTCTGACTTTATATCACACAATTCTGACTTAATATGATGCAATTCTGACTTTATATCACCCAATTTTGACTTTATAACACGCAACTGTGAGATAAAATGTCACAATTATTTTTTAATTTTTTTTTATTCAGTGGCGAAAACAAGCTTCCATAACAAACAGTACATAGTGGTAAGGAGAGTAAAAATTGGCAATTGCGAGAACATTCATATGTGTCAGCTGTCCAATAACTTTATCAAAAACTCATAATACAGTTTAAATTGGACCTTTATGAACAATAGTCTTGACACTCACTGATGTAAGTGACATGTGCAATTCAACTAAATGACAATACAAACTGTCTACTAAAGAAAACATCTACCATGACTCATGTTTCGTTTAACAGTGGATGATTTACCAACAGAAGCTTTTCTAGGGTGTGCAAATACCTCCAGAGCTCATGTGGCAACATGAAGGTGGACTATTCCTTATACTAAGCAACCAAAATGAAAATATGGAGAACAAAATCACAATATGTACAGTTACTAAAGAAACTGCCTCAGTTTGCAGTGTCAAAATTGGTGTTACCGTTGGTGTTTGTCCAAAGAACCTAAAATGTTTTTCAACAAAAATAATCTAAAAGTAATGAAATGTAAAACACTTTCACGCTTGTTAAGAAATAAAAATTTTCTAAAAACGTTTTTAGCTCAGCACCAATGGGAGTTGAATGAGAATCGTACATTTTTGACCCTGGTCACAGGTTTTTTTTTTTCATTGCAAATACTCTATGCAATGAAACATGCAGAAGTACACAGAAAAAAGATGTATAACACGCATTTAGAATATAGAGTTAATTTTCATTTCATGCCGACTTACTAAGAAACATGAGGAAAGATGTCTACTCATGTACATTGCATAATTTTGCACTGCCAGCACACGTTGAAACTCAAAATCCAAGTAGTTTGTCATCTGACCACTGAATTGCTTATCAGCTACCTGAATTTCAACACCATGAAACCTAATGCAGGTACAGAAATCTGAGAACGAGTATACACACACACACACACAGGTCTATTCAGTCATGCCGTGATCTTGTGCCTGCTTGACTTCTTATGAAACACACTCTTCCTCTAACAAAGGATGCAAGGAATAAGATGATTTCGTCACAGTTGGGATGAGAAATGAGTGTCACTGTATTAAAATCCATCTATCCTAAAGGAACAATGGAGTCTCTCTTATTTCACCTCCTCATTTGACTGAATTGTGAAGAATTGAATTGACGGAGTGTGTGAAACTGAGAGGGTCTTTAAGTCACGCTCCACTTCACAAACTTTGTCCCTTAAAATCATTGTCAGTGGTGAGGATGGCCTGTTGCGCAAGAGAGACTCTGAGGTCCCGTTTACACAAATTTTCCCTGCGGATTGGCCTCTCGTTTACACGCAAACTCCTTTTTTATCACAGAAAACGATTATTTCTAAAAACTCCGGCCAAAGTGGAGATTTCTGAAAACGCCAGGTATGTGTTGTCGTGTGAACTGGGAGAAACGGCGTTTTAGGTTCGCTCTTGTCGATTCTGAGGATTCTGATTGGCTTGCATGGCTTTATCCTTTTCCCTACACTGCCGCCAATGGGTTTGGCATAGATATGATGGCGCTCGACAGCGTATTTATGCGGGTGTGTGCACGATGTTATTATTGAAAACGGAGAGGGGGAAAATATTTGTTTCTCTAAATACCCGACTTTGTGTAAACGTGGCCTGAGACACAAGGCAGGACAGAGCTGAATTGCTTTCTATTTTTTGTTGAGTTTTCTTTGTCTGTTTAGACCGGGAACATCATTAGGATTTTATCATCCAGACTAAAGATAACAACTGTTTTGCAATTAAATTCAAATGGATGGATTACCTATTCTGTCATTTAAAGATAACATGACCAACAGAAAAGGCAAAAGGAATAAAAATGGCTCACGAGAGCAGCAAAAAGATGTGTTTTCAGTATCTTTGTCTGTCTGTTCACAGTTAATGCAGTTCCACACAAACTATCTGTGAATGTGCTCTTAATCTGAGCCACTTATAATGTGCATTTGGAACGCAACATGCTCCAAATCTTCCCAAATTATTAATGAGAAAGATCCCTTTACACCAAAATAAAAGCTTAGTGCAGTGGTCCCAAAACTTGGTCCTGGAATGCCACTGTCCAGAGTTTAACTTCCCTCAACATACCTGCCAGAAAATGTCTAGTATTTTAAATTACTAGTATCTACTTAATCTTCAATTTCCACCATTGTGACAAAATGAAAGTAATATCAGCAACATTTTTTTCTGTCTTTAATAGCTTTAATGGACTATAAAATTCAAACATTTACACAAAATTGGATTAAAAATGCAAAACGAGTAAAAAACAAACGATCATGTGACAATGCTTTGCAGCATGCTATGTAAAGTATTAGACTACTGTGTGAAATGTTTCTGATTGCAAATGCGTTCTATTTCACATATTAATTAAATGCAGTGTATACTGCGCAGTGCTCCATAAGCTAGACATAACCAGAGAGAGTAAATCCATAGCTTTTCCTCAATTCCCAGGCCGCAGAGACACGAGTCCCCGACCGCTCCAGACTATAATGGGTTCCCATGACAACGGCTTTTGTGAGCAGTTCCCCTGTAGAGTTCAATGGAACAAATTGATGAATAAATGGGGGGGTGCGGAAGTTAAGAGAGGGGAAACAGGAAATCACAACCTTTCAAATCCATTTGACATGAGCAGGCCCCGCTCCTCCAGCACTACCAGGAAAAACAACTGCAGAAAACCACCGCCTTCCCCTCTTTCTCCCTTAATTGCACTAAAACACAAGGAAGCCGAATCATTAGCATAGCATTTTTCATAAAGCATCTGAGAGCCTGCAGGTGCTGTGTATTTCCCATAACACATTTTGTCATGCTGTACATGGTTAGGAAATGAGATATTCTGTCTCTTTGATCCATGGCAACAATGTTTATTAGTTAACAACAGCAGGATGGCGGTGATAAACACTATGCCTTACACAAAGAGCTGTGAGTAAACCTCTATCAACCCAAAACATTTTCATTCTCCTTTAAATCTAAAAGCCGTATAGGACTTTGAGGCAGCTCTAGACCATGATCTACTACCACATACTTCTGTCTGTCCCACATGCTGACATTTGAGATGATGGCAAGTACTAATAGATACACACTTTGGTAGAATGTTTTTTTGTTGTTTTTTTTACCCTGTTTATAATGTTAGCCACTGTAACTTGCAACAAAAACATGAAGATTTTATCATGATTTATGTTTTATGGGCCATTTTTGCAATCTCTCTTTCATGCTTCTAATGGTGCATACACTTAAATCAGTCATGCACACACACACACACACACACACAGGTGCATGCAGCTTCTCTGCCTGCCAGGTACAGCTTCTTGCATCTGTCAGCAAAATCACTGTTGTCATTTTACCAGTGTGG